AAAGCCATCCTCCGTACTCGTTACAGGAAGCGGAGTCACTTGGGAAAAAGCTCGAGTGGAAGCAAATGCGAATAGTGCTTTCACTGGCCCCCTCTTTTGAGGTCTTTACAAGCAAGCTGGTGGCAGGAAGATAACCCCAGTTGCTAAAGGTGAGAATCCGGTTTGGATAACGAGATGAGTAACTGGCGAAGGAGAAAGCTGATGTACTGGCCCAAAAGTTTCGCAAAGCAAAATGTCAGTGTATGATGCATGCTGACTGCGTGTGTTGCTTTCCTACCAACTTCATTCATTTTCACTCCAAATTTAATACATCGCAGCGGAATTTACAGTTACAGTTAATAATTTTAAAGAACACAGGTTTGTAACCTATTCATCGCTAGTGCTACGAATAAAAAAAAATAAAGATACTGACCAGATAAAGTGCAAAAACATTTCACATTCTTTCATCACCAAAATTATCTCGATCTAAAAAAATGCACTAAATTTTCGGGAATGCGAAAGCACAACTGTTTTCAAAGAGGAAAATCACCCCACTAAGCTACCACTTACAACCTACAGTATCCCTCCACCGGCTTTTCTGGCTGAAATTTCGTAAGTACCATAACCCCCAACTAATTCAGAGACTTTATACCCAGTAAAATCCTCGCGTCTACTAAATCCTCATCACGCAAGAAATCGGGAAAGCGCTTACATAAAAAGTGGCAGATAAAACAAAAAACAGGCAGCTGTCTGAAGAGAATATTACAACGGAAAAAGCAGAAGATGAAGCAATCACTTCCGAAGACAAACGCTGACTTCCATTTACCGCGCGTTAGCTTCAGTATTCGTAGCCATGTTTCTCGTACCCATACTCTTTGTACCTGCAAAAGAAAGCAGTTATGCCGAATCGGCCAAAAATGACGAAGGATTAGTTCGAAATATCCGGCCAAGATTATCCAGCAAAGGGATTTGAACCGAATGAAATCGTCTCAGAGAAAAGCATTAACATACCACTTGCGTTCCCACCACCATTCTGGCATCGGTATAAATAGCTCCGGCTTGTCGTACTTCATTTCTTGCAGCGTTGGTATGCCTAATTCATCCATCGTCGGCTTGATCTAAAACGAGTCTATTATTGACACCATCAATACAGCCTATCGTATGGAACTAAACAGCTGATGCTCCCGTGACAGAGATGCAACTGCTCCCACTGCTCTGTGAAGTACAAGCGCCGGTAGTTTAATGATGTATTTTAATGAAAATGCGAGATGCGATTCCTTCTCGGTCTGCAAAAACAGGCTCCGCTTGCGACAGCTTCATTAATAAAAACTAAGGCCCACTTTCGAACTAAAATTGCTAATTCGGGTCGACCACTAAAGAAAACTGCGAATTCGATTATAACTGAATAGGCTAAAAAACCAAACTGATATTATGCAACTCCCGGCACAGGATTTTATGACAGCCTTATCATCGGTCGCTATCAACTGTCTTGCAAGCAAACTTGGAAAGAGGAACCCATCGACAGTCTTGCCGGCAAAGAAAATAGGATACATCCGAGTGCTTCGGCCCCTCAGAAGGAGTGCGAGAGAGAGAGAGAGAGAGAATTTTGACTCTGTCTTTAGTATCCGATAGTTGGTGCTGGTCAACTGCTACCAGGCCCGTCAACCCTATGTGCCAGCCCGCTTCAGAGACGATGAATAAAAATGGGAAAAAACGATGAAAAGTTCTCAAATAACTGAACAGCTAGTGAGGCTAATAGAGCGGCCCGTGAGTTACAGTGCGGAAACAAGCATATTTAATTTGGGGCGAACAACTCAATGCACTGAAAATCGCAGAAGCATACACCTTGTCCAGGAGCCATTTGTGCGCCCAACGATTGCATGCACATTTCAGTTTGAGGGTCTCAACAAAGCGCACAGCAAGTGCAAAATCATTGACACGCCGGCAAGCTCGCAGTACCGCATCACAGATATCCGGATCCGGGATCATATCCATCTCATGCAGATCCTGCATTGCTGCAATTGGGATAAATGCAGAAGCGGAAGAATCAAAAACTAAAGAATTCTATTAAAAAAAAAAGTACTAAAAAATCCTCCGAAAGCGAACTTAAGCACAGTTCTCGGACGAAACAAACATTTTGACTTCTGACACTCAGTGTGCAAGTTTTACGCTTTTTCAAATACACTTGAATCTGCGCATCAATTCCAGCTTCTTCTGATCCTCAAAGGACCCGAACTGCCCTTCCTATTTATTCTTGTTACCTCCACGCAGAAGAAATCCGTCGAGAGTGGGATCGTTGAAGACGTCCATGTAGTGCTGGTCAATACCTGAAATTTACATTTTAGGATAAATATGCGTAAGGAACTAAACGACAACTTATTTGAAATATTGCCAATAGCTGTAATTTATAAACTGAGGACTCTCCAACTGTGCAGATGGCTACTTCTTTTCTAGCTACTTTGGCCAGTGGCCAGTCTTATTTCACCATATGAAAGGATTATCAAATCAGGCAACTACTACTCCCGAATAAATCGCCAGGAAACAGTGGTTTTAGCACATCAAATTAAGTGATTTTCCGGCACATGCCGCGAGCACCAGTGTAGCCATGCTAGGTCCTTCTCTCCTCCCCCCCGCTCCTCTCATTCCCCGCATTTTCCTTAGTTGTCTGAGTTTGGCCCGGAATAAATAAAACTGGAAAAGTTACGTTTGTCTTCGACATCGTCAAAGATTTTGCC